GAGAGAGAGAGAGAGAGAGAGAGAGAGAGAGAGAGAGAGAGAATCTTCTAATATTTAGAAATTGGCAAAAGAGAGGAAGAACAACTGACAGAGAGTTGTGAAGGAGCTGCTGGAGAAGCAGGAAGAAAACTGAGGATGTGCAGTGTCATGGCAACCCAGACAGAGAATGTTTCAGTCTAGTCAGAGGGTCCAGCAATCAAATGCAGGGAGCAGGGGATGACTATGGATTTGACAAGATAGACGTCACTGGTGAAATGAATGAGAGTCATCTTCATGAGGAGAACTCTGATTAGAGTGGGTTTAGGAAAGCACTGGAGGAGAAAGATTGGGGTAGCAAAGATAGATAATACTTCTGAGGTGTATTGCTGTAAAAGGAAAGAGAAATGGGGCAATAACTGAGCAGACATTAGATTAAAGGGGGAGGGCTTTTAAGGTAGAAGATACTAGAATATGTTTGTGCATTTATGAGGATAATCCAGAGAAAAAGGAGGGAATCACAGGAGGGAAATCTTTTGAGATAGATTGGTTCCCTAGGTACAGGGAAAAGAATTTGCCTGATAAAGGAACAGGAACCCATCCATCATGTGAAATAGGCAATGAGGAGAGCATGTGGACGCAGGGCAGTTGAATGTGGCTCTTTCGGTGGGGAAATGAAGCATTTCTCATCTTGTCATTTCTATTTTCTTAATGAAGTAAAGCAAGGTGGTTAGCTGAAACTAAAGGAAAGCAGACGTGAAAGTTGAGGAGAAAAGAGGAGATGTGAAATACTTGTCTCAGCAAGTTGGAGAATTAATTGGCTAGGGATGTGAACAGGGTTTTCAGGCCGTCTTAAATGCCCATTTGGGCTTCACAGTCATTAATTAAAAGTAGACCACTCAGCTGGATCCTGTGATTTCATGTTTTGTCCTGAGCTCGCTGAGTGTGGAAGACGTAGGGTGTTAGGTGTCCAGGGTATCCGGTCCCTTCAGAGGAAACAAAGCTAAAGAAGATTAATCACCTAATGTTGCTCACTCAGCCTGTAGTTAGCATTTGCACTCAGCTCTTTCTCCAAAAATCTGTGTTCTTTCCAAGAAAGAGGCCAAGAAGAAAGGAAACACAAACAACTCAAGGTATCATTTTCACATGGTGGTTCCCCGAGTAGTTCAAAGTATTTTAACTGAATCCAATCCTGTGTGCTATCTATGTGCCATGGCAGCCTCCTCCCAGAGGCCAGACTCCTAAAACATTATCACAGCTCAGCATAGTAGCCATTGCACATCTAGATGAGCCAAAGACAATACATGATATTTTGTAAGAATTACATTTTGGTTCACTTTATTGGTTTAACTAACAAAGAAATGTTTAAATTATTCTATCAAGTTTTCTATTCAAGACAGGTTTATATTATTTTTAAATTTTGTTTCTCAAAGGTGCGGCCTTAAATTGAGCATCCTGTTCCTAATCACAGGTCAATGGACTGCTTGAGTCTCAAGAGAGCCAGGAAGGACCGTATCAGGGAGAGGGGACAGTAAATGGCACAGCGCTTAGAGCTGAGGAGATGGTGTAGCTCTAGGAATGACTACAGTGATTAACCCTTTGCTTCTTCCATCATCAGCCCAGTTCTTTCTAGTGCCTTGAACTCCATCTTCAGCAAGTGGGACCTCCCAGTTTTTACGCTGCCCTTCAACATCGCGGTGACCCTATACCTGGCGGCCACAGGCCACTACAACCTCTTCTTCCCCACAACACTAGTGGAGCCCGTGTCTTCGGTGCCCAACATCACCTGGACGGAGATCGAAGTGCCCTTGGTAAGTTACCCTGTGGCAGATGAGTTTGAACCCCCTGATCCCACTGCAGACCTTCTCTCTAACCGACTTGGGCATTCCCCAGGCTCTCCGCTGCTCTACATGCCCCTCCCTCACATGACAGGTCTGGTGGAGAAGAGGACGGGAAAGGGTCACTGCCACCTTCACATGGTCTTTCAACAAACCTTCATTGAAGCCCTAGCTGGTTTGGCTGGGTAGATAGAGAGTCAGCCCGCAGACTGAAGGTTCCCAGGTTTAATTTCAGTCAAGGGCATGTACCTCAGTTTCAGGCTCAATCCCCAGCCCTGGTCAGGGCACGTATGGGAAGCAACCAATCTCTCTCTCTCTCTCTCTCTCTCTCTCTCTCTTTCTCTTGCTCTTCCCCCTCCCTCCCTTCCACTCTCTCTAAAAAAATTAATGGACAAAATATCCTCAGGTGAGGATTAACAAAAAGAAAAAAAAGACATAAAACTTACTTCTTCCCTTCCATTCTCTCTAAAAATCAATGGAAAATCCTCAGGTGAGGATTAACAAAGCAAAAAAAAAAAATTTATTGAAGACCCAATCCATGCCCTATCCATGAGGCATGGTCCAAGTGATAGCTGCAGTGATGTGTGGTATTGCCAGAGAGAAAGGCCCCACCCATCTGTATTGTGTGACTACAGTTCATCACTGAGGGGGCCAGGGTGGAAAGGGCCACAGAGAAGAGATGGCTCTTGTTCACCTTCCAAATAAACAGTTAGAAAGTGGTAGAACCCAAATCCACGTACCCTGAAACCCAAACACACTCTCTGAGCTCCCCACCCAACCACCACTCTGACAACAGGCTTCTCTTCTACCATCCAGAGCTGATTTGAAGACTCAATGCCATTTCCCTCTTTCTCTTTAAAACAGTGAGGGGAGTGACTTCCTTTTTGTTGAACAGGCATGTTGTTGTTACATGAGGATTATCCAGAGTATGAGGAGCCTGGCGCTCAGTAAATTTCCACCACACACCTGACTTCCCCTCACACCAGGGTGTCAGCTATGGCCTGAAAAGCAGCGGGGAGGGGAGGCAGGCCTCCTGGGACCATAGTTCACCAAGTCCCTGTAGAAGGAATCTTCATTCTAAATCCAGGCTTCTTTCCAAGTCAGCTTGTTTCCTCATTCCTCTCATTCTTGGCTGCTTGGGCTTAAAATCTGTGTTCCCAGATGGAAGGTGGGAGCCCAGTTCCCCTCAGCATTCCTCAGACTTCAGGAAGTCGTGGAATATTTATTGAGTAGCTTTCCAGCCTGTTCCCCCACTTAAGCTGAGGTCCCTGGACTGGCACAAAGTGTTTCAGGTTCCTTTAAATAACACAGGGCCCCTACCCTGTCATTCCTTGCATAAGTCTGTAGGGTCTAGCCCAGACAGTGCTTGGTTATTAAAAGGCCACCTCCTCAGAGACAAGGGTGGACAACTCCTAAAAGCTCTGGGAGACTCCTCAAGCAAAAAAAATCAGACTAACTGCAGAATCCAGTCAAGTTGTGAAAAAAAGTACAAAATTTCACCAATGGGAGAAAGACAATGAACTCCCAACATCTACAATAGATTGTCAATAACTAGCCCATTGGTCCCCAAACTCTGTTGCACATCCAAAACCCCTGAGGCCCAGTTATGCTCCATACCAGTTAAATCAGGAAGTCTGGGAGGAGCCAGGCATCAACATTGTTTGTAAAGATATGTAGGTGGTTCCTGTGTATGCGAAGTTTAAAAACCACCGAGCTATTCAATACATGTTATTAAGCACCTATTAAGTACCCTGCCACAAGGGAGCCCTGTCCTCAAAAAGGTTATATGATCTGGTAGTGGAAATAAAAGAGTTTGCAGGATTTTAAAGCTGGAAGATCATCTGCTGGGCCATCCTCCTCATTAGAGAGGAGGGCACCAGAGCCTAGAATGAGGAGGTGACATGCCCATGGTCACACAACCTTGTACAGAGCCCCCCTGAAAGCTGTAGCCCTCAAGCCCCAGGCCAGGGCTCTCCCTACCCTGCCGATCTCCTTCCCTTCCTTTTTGCCCACAAAGGACAGCCAGAATGTGGGTGATTCAGCTTGAGCAGGAAAAGGCCAACTGACATCACTGCCAGTTAATCATCTTCAATTCCAGCATCACCAAATGACGCTGAGCTCAGGGACGGTTGGGCTTTGTGCTGTTCTTCAGATGTTCTTCACATTACTTTCTTCAATGCTGAGTGCTCCTCCTTCCCAGGGCCTCCTAGTCCCCAGGCTAACACTGAATGTGCAGCAGCCACCAAGAGACTAGGGGTCAAGCTCAGAGACTGTAGCTTGGGCTTGGCCACCAATGTGCTAAGTAACCTTTGGACCATCATCCATCAAAATGGCCTTGAATGGTCCCAATATTCCTGGAGTATTTCTAGGATTTCCCGTAGTTCACTGAAATCCCCAATGGTAATCTAGAGAGGAGGTTCCCTCAAAGTAGAAGCCATGTATCCCTCAGAAACACCCTGCCCAGCCCCTGGGTTGGGGAGCCCTGCTTGGCTTTGCATGAGCAATGCTCAGATGCCTGCAAGGTGGTGGAGTGAGGAGCTATTTGTTCCAGGTCACACCCTCCCATCTTCTCTCACTCACTGGAGGGCACAGCCATACTCCTGTTCAGCCCCATTACCCACCCACCCCCCAAGAATGGCTCAGTCCTGGCCCCAAGTCTGGTCTTTGCATGACTAGCCCACACTCCAGTGACCTGGATTCTATTTACTTTGCAGCTGCTACAAGCCATCCCCGTCGGGGTTGGCCAGGTGTACGGCTGCGACAATCCCTGGACAGGTGGTGTGTTCCTGGTGGCTCTGTTCATCTGCTCGCCACTCATCTGCTTGCATGCAGCCATTGGCTCCATCGTGGGGATGCTAGCAGGTAGGACAGCACCCCTCTCTGCAGGGATCATTTTCCCACGGTCATTCTCACACACACATAACAAATACTCTAGACTTGCTATCTTCACTGGAGTTCATAAACACTATCAGGTTACTTCTCCATTTCTTGACTCTCCAATGGGAGCAGATTGCAGTAGCAGGACACATGGAGAGATGCAAGGGGAACAAAGACCAGTAGGCTTGCAAACTGAGCCCCTAGAAGCTAAGGGGTAGAAGCAGAAGCTGATAGGCAGGGGTATAAGTGAGCCAACACTTTGAAATTTTGAGTAAGCTAAAAGAAAAAATAGTCTCAAAAATTGTATTGCCACTTGAAAATGTAATTTAGTATGTCTATATATATGTATATGTGTGTGCACACACCTATATATGTGTATGTGGACAACAGAGTCAGAAATTAGAGTTCGGGGCATTGGGAATAGGAACCTATTGACTCATTCCAATATTTTGCAAAAATGTCTTAGAAACAGAACTTTTAAAAAAAGTTATCTGGAAAAAATTTCAAACTTATCAAAAATAAAAGTAGCTCAAGAGGCACCCATAATCCTTTACCCAGATTCACCAATTGTTCACATCTCACGCATTTTGCTGTATTACTTCTCCATCTCCATATGTCTATGTATGCACATTCATGCTTTTTCTCAACCATTTGAAGCAGAATGTTTTCAATTGAAATCTTTCTTGCTAAAAATGTATCCTCTCTGGCCAAAGAGAGGGCTAGAGTCCCATGGCCTTGCCCCGCCCCCCCTGGAAGTAGCCATAGATCTGCATCAAATCTTTGAAAACCAGCTTGGAAACCACTGCTCTCTTCCCATTGCTGGTTTCCAGAGACCAGGCACCATCTGTAGAGGCTCCTTTGATGGGTAGCTATAGCAGGTGTCAGGGGGAACAGCTGGAATGAGGCCACCCTGGCCCCAGCACCAGCCACAAGATGCCTTTGTGCTGTGACCCAGAACCAACCAGAAACACCACACCTTATCCCACAGCCCTGACAGTGGCCACGCCCTTTGAGAGGATCTACATGGGCCTCTGGAGTTACAACTGCGTCCTCGCCTGCATTGCCATCGGGGGCATGTTCTACGCCCTCACCTGGCAGACCCACCTGCTGGCCCTCGTCTGTGGTAAGTATTTGGGAAAGCTGACAACCAAGTCACTCTGCTATTCCTCCCTCCCCGAAACCCACCTTTGGTGATGAAACCCATGGTGACCACTAATCAGAAGTGAGCAACAGTGATAGAAGGACCAGTGGCTTGGGTCTTTCACAGCTGGGCGACTTGAGGTGCCTCCTCCATCACATAGTGCATTCCTACTCTCAATAACTCTTCATTCAACAACGATTTGTAGGTCACCACTAAGTGCCAGACCCCAGGCGAGGCATGGAAGACACAGTAGTGTCATGAGGACATGGTCTAGCAAAAGAGGAGCCATTGCACAGTTATTAAGGTTGTGATGTCTAAAAAGATTGTTGGAAAGATCTAATGAGATGGTGTACTTGGGAGCATTGAGATCTAAGAAAAATATAATATAGCTCTATGGAAGCTTGAATGTGTAATAGTAAAGACAGAATGCTGTGTCCGAAGAGAAATTGAGCGCAATCATTATATCTGCACCCAGCACCACACTCTGTGCCATATAAACATATGAACCCTCTTAATCCTCCCAAGATCACTACCAGGCATAGATTGTCAACCCATTTTACAGATGAAGAAATGAGACTCAGAGGGATTAATGAACCTAGAACTCAGCTATTAATGGCAGAAGCAGGATTCAAACCCCAGTCCCATCTTTCCATCAGCCTTTCTGCCCTGGTTTGCTTACATTCTCTGGAAACAGCAGGATTTTAATAAGCAAAACTAGAGACAGGGCAGAATAGCATCCAGGAGAGCTTTTCTTTTGTTTTCTCCCACTTCAGTGTGGAAATGCTAAATGACTTCCATGCCCCTTATATCCCCCTCAGCATAGCACAAGGGTGGGCATGGAGACAGTGACCTCAGTAAATATTTGTTAAATAAAAAGCACCAGGTATTTTGAGGGTCAGACTGGGACTGCCTTTGGCCTTCAAAAAAGTGGCAGGTTCCTGTGGCTAGAACCTTCTGGGGAGGCTTCAGAGGGAGGTTGGGGTTCATCTCAACACTTTCAGAGTGGGATCTGGACAGGCAGAGAGGGGAGAAGGTGTTCTGGAAAGAGAAACAGAGAGAGCAAAGGGGCAGGGGCAGAAGGAGCTTGTCCAGAGGCACCAGGGGTGTGGCAGCTCTTCCTAACTGTCCTGGGGGCCCACATCCTGTGGTTGAACCCAGATAACTGGCTCCTAGGAATGAGCTCAGAGAACCAATAAGGTCCAACTCTGATGGGACTTGGTGAAAGTCCAATGGCATCATGGTTGCTCAGAATCTCGGACAGGAGGGGCCTTATCTGGAGCTTATATAGTCTGACCACTCACCCCACAGACAGGTAATCATTCTGGCCTGTGCTCGACCATCTCAAAGTCAGTGTGGACAAGTAAAAGATGCTTAGTGACCCCTGACTCTATGCAAGGCCACCATGGAAATGGGAGGGGATAAAAGGATATGTAAGTTTTACCCTCTGCCTTCAGAGAATGCACAGTCTGGTGGGAGATGGGCCACATGTCAAGATGTGGTGTAGACACTGAGGCTGCTGGAGACAGGCTGAGATCCCTGCTCTTGGAGAGGGTTAGGGGTGGGCCCTGGGAGTTGACTTGGTGATCCTTGTTCCTCTGCAGCCCTGTTCTGTGCGTACATGGGAGCAGCCCTCTCCAACATAATGGCAGTGGTAAGTTCAGACTCTCCTGAACACTGTGCCCTTCCCTAGCCAGGGCTTCAGGATGTTTGGAGTCTTGAGGAAGAATCCTGAGGGGTTATAGTAGCCAATACTCTGCACAATGCCTTTGTCAAGGTTTATCTAGGGTTTGTCCTGAGAAGCACTGGCAACTGGGTACAGTTGCCTCTGAAGTGTGCATGGTGTGTGTGTGTGTGTGTGTGTGTGTGTGTGTGTGTGTGTGTGTGTGTGATGCAACCAATAATGGAGAACAAGGATGCACAGATAGGATGGATGTTGGAAGCCATCATTTCTAGGCCAATTTTCAGCTCCATCATTAAAAGATTCTGGTGTGTCCAAAGATGACAACACCTCAAATTCATAGACCAACTCCTCTGTCCTTATGACTCCAGAAACCAATGCTGTCACTAGGAGAGGTGTCCCAATCTCAACCCCTACCACATCCTTCTCCCCCAGGGTCCCTGGAATCTAGGAACATTTTCAGACACCAGTGCTTTTGCTTCCAGGTTGGTGTACCACCAGGCACCTGGGCCTTCTGCCTCTCCGCCCTCATCTTCATGCTCCTGACAACCAACAACCCCGCCATCTACAAGCTGCCCCTCAGCAAGGTCACCTACCCAGAGGCCAACCGCATCTATTATCTGACCTTGAAAAGCACTGAAGAAGAGAAGTCCTCCAGCGGTGACTAGCCAAGTTCTAGGCAGAAATGCTCTTTGCCTGAACCTTGTTCTGCTCCCTGTGGTCTTGATTCTGGGTCAATCAGCTACAGCACCTCTTTCTTTGCCTCTCCTTGCACCTCTGCGGAACCAAACACCAACAACTCTCTTTCCAGATGCTGGTTTTCTCTCTCTGACCAAATTGCCATAGCTATCCATCATGTGACATTAGAGGAAGTTGGTAACAAGCTTACTGGAGTTAGAAGCAAGGCATGTGTTTTCAAAGTCATCGACTTAAAACAAGAACATTATTTGTTTGTATTTAGTATTTGGGGAAGGTGATTAAGAAATAATCTTGTTGGCATGTTTAACTAAATAATAGATGCTGTAAAATTGATCTTAATGAGTGGTGCCTGGGCAGACACAGAGTGAGTGAAAATTCAGGGGACACATGCAAAGAATTGAAGGCACCATAGTACACAGAGTTACTGGCTGATGGGCACATACAGCTTTGCATAAAACCTTACACTGATAACGTTTTAAAATTGAAATAGGGACAACTAGGGCACTGGAATTGTCTAAATAGGGAGTCTCAAACATTTAGTGGTCGGAGTAAAGGGCAAGGTGATATTCCATAGTAGGAAGGAATTAATTAATTAGAATCCTACATGTGACTTTTATTATAAAGGGTAAGTGTTTCTCAGTGTAACTCAAAACAGCAACATTGGGCAGAAATTTCAGTTGAGGGAAATACCTGAGCTCATTTGTGAATAGCTGGGGAAGTTTATTCCATTTTCTTATTTGCTTATGGGTATTGGAGGCTCTTTGAGATCTGATATTTCAATGGTTAACCTTGACTTTACATAAACAAACAATTATTCATTAATTTTATAATTTGCCTTCCCAATTAATACAGTAACTAGCTTGCATTTAGTCTTTAGTTATATATAGGTCAGGAGTTGACAAACTTTTTCTGGAAAGGGTCAAATAGTAAATATTTTTGGCTCTGGAGGCCATAGTCTCTTTTACAAATACTCAACTCTATCGTTGTAGTGAAAAATAGTCTGGGATGGTATATAAATGAATGGGAGTGGTTGAGTTCAAATAAGACTTTATCAAACAGGCAGCAAGCTAGATGTGGCCTCCGAGCAGTAGTATGTCAGTGCCTGCTACACATAGTCAACATAACAATGGCCAGGCATGGATGGGCAGTCAGCAGGCCCAAAAGACACCACCAGGTTCTATACCACAGACATGTACCTGCCGAGTGATAGTGTGAAAATTCTTAGGAAGTGGAAGGGACACAAGAAAGTGAGATTAGTATGACCAGACTCAGGAAGATGCACCCTCATGCCCTCAGAGAATGACAGACCCAGTGATGTGTACCGGCGGGTGCAGATTTATCCGTCCCTCCTTCCACACAGATGTCTGGGAACCACTCCTAAGGCTCACCGTCCTCCACTTCCTCACTCTGTTTCCCCCTCTGCCAGCGGGCTCACCACCGTGCAAGGAAGAAAAAACCATGACCCTTCGGAAGCCCAGGAGCTTCCAGCAGCAAGAGCCGGGAGGCTCACAGAAGCTCAGGGTTAGCAGGGAGTGTGAAGGCCAGGTAGTCCCCCATCCTGTGATGCAGAGGCCTCTATAGGAAGCTCGGGGGCTCCGTTCCCAGCCAGGCTTCCAGCCAGGGCACAATTACCCAAAATCGAAGGGAGACCCCAAGGTATTCTAACAAGAGATAACAGAATCAGAGATACCCCACTAATTGCCCTAGGAAATCGCCTCTTCTCGCCATTAAGCCCTTGAGAAGCTCCACCCAGGAACTGAACTGTCTTTTATTGGATTTCTGGGAGAGGAAAACTAGTTGGATATGAAAATTCTTTCAGCTCACTTGGGTAATTTTATCTCCTCCCCCTCTCTTCTCTTCCCTCCCCACTTCATAGTTTGTCATCTATGAGGTACCACTTGGATCACAGGGATCTAGGTTTTGTGGGGGGTTTTTCCTCCCAAATTTCCACTTTAACAACCCCCCTGTCCCCCAGGAATGAAGAATTTAAGTGTATTACAAGATGCCAAACTCATTTGAAGACAAATGGATAAAAGTTAAGTTAGTCAGAAAAAGGAAAAAAATATGCCCAGCAAGTCTGGAAAAACCACAGGGCCCCAGAAAGTCTATTATACACTGTGACCAAAATGGCCAGATATTTACGTAGAAATAGAAAAACAAATTATCTGCTAGTTTGAGCAGAAGTAAAAATCCCCAGGCCTCTGAGAAGTCTGCCCCGTGCAGATCACACTGTCTACAGGCCACGGACAGATGCCCAGATGTCCTCTGAAGTAGCCCAAATAGTCTCTCAAGGGACAGGAGAGCTCCTGTAGTGACCTTGCCCCACCTCACCAGCACTTCCCCATCTCACTGACACCCTGAATGAGTAGAGGCAGGAGACCTAAACTTACACATTCTCACCACCAGCATGAGGTTGCAAGAGGGCAGGCCACTGATATTGTCTACTATCACCCCGAATACCAACAGAGGCTTTTGGAAAGCTGAACATAAGTATTTGTGGCTGAACATTAATAAGCAGTCATTAAAGAGAGAAGAAATATAAGTGTGGGACTGGGGAGAAGGGGACTTTAGAGGAAGCACTGTCTTAAAATCTCTTTTTTTATCACGCACACCCCTTTTCCCTGTCCCCTCCCCAAATCTTATCATCTCCTCTCCCTCTGGCCTCACCATCTCCCCCTCCCATTTCATCTTCTCTGCCACATGGAGGAGTTTTATTGTCAGCGTGGAACAGCATTGTCCTGCTGTATTTTTAAATCATGGATCTCAAATCATCTTTCCAATCACTTTTATAATAATTGACATAATCAAGTTTTCTACTTCTTCTTGGTCAAACTTGAGAGTTTGTTTGCTGGGAAATAATCTATTTTCTTTAGTTTTAAATTTTTGATGCCATAGAGTTATTTATAATGTTTTCATACTATTCAATCTCTTGTGTATCTGTGGCTTTGTCTCCTTTGTAATTTCTAATCTTATGTGATTTTGCTCTCTCTTTTCCTTAATCAGGTTTGTGAGAGATTCGTCCATTTTTTTGGCTTTGACAAGGAAGCAGTTTGGAATTAATTTGTTATTTCTACTTGTTGTAGTTTGTTCTTTATTTTATTGATTTTTTTCTTGTTTTCTGGTGTTTTGTTTAAATGTTCTTTTTTTTGCAAGTGTTTTAAAATTGATGTAAAATTTCTTCATTTTAGATCTTTTTCCTTTAATGACAAAGGCATTTAAGGCTATTAATTTTCCCCTGAGTACACCTTTAGCTGTGTACTGTAGGTTTTGAAATTAAATATTCTACTTTTATCAGTTTTTAAATAGTTTGTAATTTTAGTTTTGATTTCTCTTTGATCTAAGGATTATTTAAGAATGTGTTTCTTAATTTCCAGCACTTAGGATCTTTTTGATACTTTTAAACTTTCTTAACCTAGTTTTATTGGATTAAGACAGAGAATATGGCCTGTAAAACCTCTATTTTAAAATTTTATGAAATTTCTTTGTAGCCAATTACTTGATTGATTTTGGACATAGAAAATGCAAATTTTTATTTGAAAGAAAGACATTAAATTGATTTATTAATTGCATCATTCAATTATTCTATGTGCTTATTTATTTTTTGTCCATGGGATTTTAATTATGAAATGGGTTTATTAAAATTCAACTATAATTGTATAGCTTACTAAACTCTTTTGTATTTGTAAAACCTTTGCCTCATATATGTAGCAGCTATGTTGTTTGATGCCTATTGACTATCATTGATTCTTCATCAATTTTAACTTTTACTATTACAACTGCTCATTTTATGCTCATTAGTGCTTTTAACCTCATATCAGCTTATAAATGTTGCCACACCTACTTTCTGATATTTTCTTACACCTTTGTTTTAACCATTATTATTTTCTTTAAACTATATATCTTAAAAATAACATAGAGCAATGTTTTGTATTTAACCTAATCTAAGTGTTTCTGTAATTTAGTAGGATAATTGAACCCCTTCATATTTATTGTAACAATCAATATGCTTCTTTTATTTATTCCACTTTGTTTTTACTATTTACTTTTTGTTTTCCGAACTTTTCTCCTTTTGCACATTCGATTATGTTACTATCTTTTTCTTTCCTTTGTTCACTTGGAAGCTCTGCTATATTCCTTCTATTCCACTAGTGGTCACTGTTTCTTTCCCAATGCTCATAAGCAAAACTGTATTTCTCTGTTGTTATATAAAAGCAAGACACCAAATAGTTTACCCACACAAGCTACCCCATTTTGCCAATGCTCCTTGCTCACCCTGTGGAATGAAAACCTTTATACTACTTTCACTCCTCCCCAAGGTCCCCATCCCTAACACACTTACTTCTCCAATATTTTCCACCTCTAGATTTTGCCGAGATCATTATTTCTTTTTCCCCTTGCAATATTTCTCTTTAAAAAAAAAGGGGGGGGAATTCTATCATTGTGGCTTTGGAGTTTACTATTTATATTGGGCATGTTACCTTATATCACTGTTTTCTCTATTCATCACCTTCCCCTGTTTTGTGATCTTGGTTCTTATTCATTAATTACCTGTTTAGAAGTCCTTCTTTTTTGTTTTCTTCAAATAATATATGACAGAATACAGGTGACACGTTCTCTGACTGTTTTCATGTCCACATTTTCTTTCTCCTGCTAAGTGAATGGCATTTCAGCTGGGGTGTCTGGGCTATAGCCTTTCCCCTCAGTTGTGTGGAGGTGTTGTGTCTTCATTTTCTGGCTGCCAAGTGTTACAAATAAGAAATCTAATGTCAATATCATCCTTTCATTTTATAAACAACCTGCTCTTTCTTTCTAGAAGGTTGTAAGGTTTTCTCCTTATCTTTGGAGTTCAGGGATTTTATGAAGTTAAGCCTAAGTCTTTTCCCATAAATACTGCCTTTCAAGCTGCAAACTCAAGTCTTTCTTCAGCTAACGTTTGTCTGGTTAGTGCTTTTCCTCTCTCT